GGTAACAGAAGAGACAGTGCTCTAAGGAGTGGCGAGGGCCAGCTTTGAAGGGAGGGCCCTGGCTGGACTGTGAGAGAGCGGCCCTTCCTGCTGCAGTAGGCAGCTGAGCTTGTAGGCATGTGTTCAGCACAGTTCAGGAGCTTGTGGCACCAAATGATGACATGTCTTTGGTTCTGCTGTTGGCTCCCTGGAGAAAAGGCACAAAGGAAAACCCTCACTCTCCTGAGCAGAGAGAGCAAACCTGAGTCTCCACAGAGCCTGAACGCAGGGCTAAGAGTGCTGCTTTTCTCTCTGGGCCTAGCTCACAACTTCTTCCCTTCTTTCTGCAGCCCTGAGTGCTGGGGCTACCTGAGCCTCAGACCCATGAGGACATCAGGGAAAGACCTCAGCGTATCCTCTTGGTGCCCCTCGCTTTGACCCTGGGCTCTTGAACAGCTCAGGAAGGGGAGGAGGAGGTGCGCAATGTGGGTGGTGAGGCATGATGGGTGGGCTGGAGAGGAGAATGGCAGGAGCAGCCACACCACTGCTGGGGGACCACTGTGGGGAGCATGCCTGTTCTCCAGACAGCCAGTGGGCTTTCCTGTGGACACCTGAGAGTGGGAGCTGTAAAGGGAAGTGAAAACCAGCAGGCAAGCATGCCAGCTTCGTGGAAGGGAGCAGTTCAGAACACTTGACCACAGGTTCAGAGAGGAACTCGCATTTCTCCATTATTTTCTGCACTGGAGAGTAGGAAAGGAGACCAACTCATGAACCCAGTACATAAGGGACCTGACCAGCCTGCTGGGCATGGCCATCCTGCTCTGAAAGAGCAAGCACAATGAGGCACGTACAGAGCTGTGCCCTCCCACGCCAGCCCTGGGAAAGCAGGAGAGAGCAGACTGTCTTGGAAACAAGCACCTACCATCCCAGCACATCAGAGTGGTGCATCTTAGAGCCAGAGGCAGAGGTGGGGAGAAAAGAGCAAGTCTAGAGGCAGGAGAGGCAATCAAGGTTGTCAGGAATGATCCTGCACTTGGATGAGACAGGCCAGAGCCATGGAGAAGGGCCTCCTGCCACCAAAGGTCCCTGGCCAGGGGGGTGATGAAGAGGTGGCCAGTGATCCTTTCTCCACTGAGTGAAAGGCCAGGCTTGGCAGAGACGGGGGGAGGGCAGAAGGGATACCTGTGTGTGCCACATGAACACCTCAGAGGACCCAGGAAAGGGGCAAGGGAGCAGTGGCTTCGTCAGAGCTGTGTGCCTCAAGACACCAACAACTGGGGGTGATGGCTTACCTGAGTGCGGCTGCCATGTTTAATCAAGGGCAGGCCTTGGGAGGCAGCCTAGAGCCCACCTCTCTCCAGGGAACTTTAAGGGGTCAGCGGCAGCCCAGGGGCCCCTTCCCCCTCCCCAGTGTCCTGGGCCCCTGTGTGGACCAGGTGTTCCTCCCTCCTGCTTACCTCTTGGAGCTGAGCTTCCATGCTGCCTCCTGCACCCGGACAGCAGGGGACAAGGGTGGCCCATGGCCCTCCACCGTGCTGACTGTGCTGGGGTAGCCGGAGGGGCGGGGGAAGCGGCCCAGGGCGGTGTTGTTGGCATTGTTGATGTTGGCATTGGAACCAGTGGATGAGTAGCTGCTGGGGGTGAAAGTGGAGTCCACCAGTTTCTCGTGGGATGGCGACTCGGTGTCTCCTTGGTTGTTACCCGCCTTGTTGATGTGCAGTGGGCGCTGGGTGGTGAAGGTCTGAGGAAAGGCGCTCCGGCCGTCGCTTTGGTAGTAGGTAACGTGGTTGCCGAACAGGCCACCGGCCCTCTGTAGGCAAGATGGGAGGGATGTGTGGAGGAGACCCCCAGCTACCACTCCTTTGTGGGAGGAGCCTCAGCCAGCCAGGTTGGAGACATGCAAGGCATGGGCAGGTATCCACACATGGACACAGCCACTCCAGGCGGTGTGGGCAGCTGGGACCCTCCTCACACCTGGCTGCTCCAGAGGAGGAGGGACCAGTGTTTAGACACCCAGTTGCCCTCTGAGGTGTGTCATCAGGGAAGCTGCAGAGAGAGCTGTCCTGAATGTTTCCAGCAGGCCCCCAAGAATGGGGTTGAGGAAGGCCAAGTCTCAGGTGGCAGCCCTCGGTAGCCGCCAACCTCTCGGATGGCAGAGGGAGCTATGAGGGATGAGGGGCAGAGAAAGGGACCAGAAGATTCTAACAAGGTCTTTACAGTGGAAATCCCACAGGCTCACAGAGTTAAACACAGTGTTAGTCAAGTGGTTTTGAAAATAAGAATGGAAAATTATATCATGGCTTCCCTTCCTGTAGGAGATTCTTAGAGAATTTAGGTCGGAAGCCATGGGCAAATAATAGTTGTTTGCTTTTGTTGTTGTTGTTGTTTTGTTTGTTTGTTTGTTTTTGTCATAGGGCATGTGTGCTTGCCAGAGAGAGAGAGAGAGAGAGAAAGACAGTGAGAAACAAAGTGACAAATCGGCCCCCGGGGAGATGGCCACACCACAATCACTTCTCCATTCTCCTGGGATTTGGGGCACACACACACGTACCTGGCATGATTTTCAAGCCCTCAGGTCTGGGGCTTGGACTGTGGTCCACCATAGGGAATGCAGCACCTTAACTATCATGCCACCTGCTGGCCCCACAAGTAGCTATTTGTAAGACCAATCTAATCCTTGATTTCAGAAAGTCCTTGGGCTTTAGAGACTGAGTGTCTGGACTCTGGGTCCTGTGGGGTGGTGTTTGCCTGTTGCCGAGTTCCTGGGCCATTCCAGGATGGACGGCTCATGGTGATGACAACGAGGATGAAGATGAGAGGACAGCCAGAGGTGGAAGAGCCTATGTCACCTCTCTATGTGCTGTACAGACCAGGAACTAGGCAGGGGGCCACGAGGGACAGCGTGAGCAGAGCCCTGGTACAGGAGAGGCAGGTAACATCGACAAGTGAAGACGGCTGGCTGCAAGAGTTCCATCAGTTTTAGCTTTCACTGTTGCACCTAGTGGTCAGCCTCAAGCTCCAGCAAAGGAGAGGGTGGGCAGGAGGGAACTTCTGTGCCCTCGAGAACATGCCTCATGTCAATAGGGAAAATCCTGCTAGGTGCCAGCCCTCTGCTCTCACATGGGAATACCAGCCCTGTGTACCAGATCTTCTGCTTTTTCCAAGAGAAGCCATAAATCTAGATTTGTACTCACATTTACCAGACTTTCAAATATTGGCAAACAAAACCAGTCCACAGATTAGATGTGGTCCAGGGGCTTCCACTTTGTACCTTCTTTTTTGTTAACGAGATTTTTGCTATAGAGTGCGTGCACTCATCAGAGAGACAGAAAGCAAGAAATCACCACCACCGCCTCCCCCCACCCCCGCCCCAGGAGGCATGGCCAGAACACAATCCCTTCTCCTCTGTTCTCCTCTCAGTATTTTGGGCATACATGCATATGCATCCATCCTGAGCTTTATTTCGACAGGTCTGGAACTTGAACCATAGTAAACTACGTGGGAGTCCAGTGATATAACCATTATGCCATGTGCTGGTCCCCCCACTTTGCACCTTCTAATGTAGAAGATCTCCTGGAAACATCTCCCTTCAGAGAATGGCTCCCACCCCTCTTCTCTGAGGGCCAGTGACACTCTGCGAGGTGCCATGTGCCGGAGCCTGACTGGAGATGAGGAAAAGGTGGAGGGGTGAGGAGCTGAGCGAGAAGAGCCTGGAATCTGCCACAGAGCTTGGGCCTTCTCTCCGGATTTTCTGGGCAGAACACCAGCCCACCCTCTTTTGCTTCACACTGAAATGTAACAGGTTGACAGTGCCATGGGGCAGCCACCTACCCTGAAGATGTCGTCTTCAGAGGCAGCAGACACAGCCTCCTTCATGGCCTTGTCCAGCTCCTCCTCAGCCGTCAGGTCTCCAGAAATGGCCCGTCGGATTTCAGGCCCGATGTCATGCAAGGTGCGCAAACCAGCCTGCAACCCAGAGGGATATGTGGGAACCTGGTGGGAACCTCCGTCCTTTTCCACTATGCTGCCCAGCCAGCCTGTCCCTCTAGAACCCAGAGCATCTCGCCCAGCCACTGGGCTTTCTGCCTCTCCATAAGACAATGGAGCTCAGAAGGTGTATCTGCATGTCTGAACCAGGGATGTCTGAACTATGGACTTCCCTCTTATCGTAGGGTGGAGGGCTGCTCTCACCCTAGGGTAGGCCTGCTCTCATCTAGAGTGGGCCACTCTTGTCCTGGGTGGGGTGCTCTCATCTAGGGTGGGCCACTCATGTCCTAGGGTGGGGTGCTCTCATCTAGGGTGGGCCACCCTCGTCCTAGGTGGGGTGCTCTCATCTAGGGTGGAAGAACCACTTGTCCATCCAGGAGGGATGAAGCCACACGAGGAAGGAACACCAGGGCTCGAGTGTCATGGGAAGCTCAGCAGAGTGCACGAGAGTGCCAGGAGCTGTGAAGGCAGGCAGGGCCACGCAGGGCTGACGTGCAGAGGACAGGCACTGCCACCCCCTCTCACCCACCCTCTAGAAGCCTGGAGCTCTCAGAAAGTCGCCTTCTGAAAAGAGCTGGCCCCCAGCCAAGTGGTGACAGGTGGGGACCCAGGTGTAGGGAGATGACTGGGCCCTCCCCTGGGGCACCTCCCTCCCTCAGCCTCACCTGTAGGGACAGAGCGTTCCTCTGGGACGGCTTGCCCACAAGCCCCTGCTCTTTGCGCTTCTTGAATTTCCGGAAATACTCTTGGATGAGGAACGTAGCGTAGAACTTGCCAACTGTGACCTCATCATCTGAGACAAACCGAGACACAGAGGAAATTGGGGCTAGATGAGAATTAAGGTGGACTTTTTTTTTTTTTTCAATGTTCTGTAAATTTTTAAATTTAAATTTTTGGAGAGGTGGTACATTCATATGGCTCTAGAAAAAAATATATTAAAAGGCATACAGCGAAGTCTTCCTCCCATCATACCCCTCATTTGCCTAGTTACCACTCCTGTAATGTTTATAAATTACTTTCTTGAGTATTTTTCTAGAGATTTGAAAACGCAAATCATTTATGCAGATATATTCTTATTCTCTTTCTTCTTAATAGAAAAGGTACCTATTATCAAAATGATTTCCTACCTTACTTTTATTTTTCCTTGACTAACATAACTGTTATTTGCTTCCGAAGCCTCAAATGCCTATCACCCCGGCCAGTCTGGTGGGAGGATTGTGGACGAGTGCTTTTCTCCTGTCAGTGTTTGGGTTTTTCTTCCAAACCAGGTAGAGTGGGTTTTATGATTTTTTTTCAAAGGTTTTTGCCACAGGGCATGTGTACTTGCCAGAGAGAGGGAAAGTGAGAAATTATTCCTCAAGGGGGTGGCTACACTGCAATCCCTTCTCCATTCTCGTTCTGCAATTTTGAGCACACATACATATGTGCCCAGTGTGATTTTCAGCGGCTGGGTCTGAGACTCAGACTCTGATTGGCCATGAGAGAGTCCAGCACCGTAACCACCATGGCACCTGCTGGCCCGAGAGTGGGTTTTAAATCGTGTAGCTTGACTGCACCCTGCCAGGCTGGGCACCCAAGATCACACATGAAATGATCAGCCTGGGTTGGGCATGGACAAGATGGTGGAGAAGCCAGAAGTTTCTAAGGGAATATCTCATGCCTGGCACATAGCCCCTCTGTCCCGTGCCCTGGTCCTTTAAGAAGCTGATACAAAGACTCAGGAGACAGGTGGCTGGGTCAGATGTCAGGGCCTGCGATGGCTGGCCCTCCAGAACAGTCACATCCACAGCAGTGATAGGCCTTCTGTGGGCCGTGCCTCATTTCTTTGTGAGAGGGAGAACCCAGAAACCTGTCAGGGTCCTGGACGGAGAACTGTACAGTTCAAGAAGCTTGGAATCCTGGGTTCCGATTCTGAATATTCTCTGTACTCAGCACATAACTGTGGGTCAAGGGCTTAGGTTTAAGAACTTCAGTTCCAGGACCAGCAGGTAGTGTGGTGGTTGGGTGCTAGACCCTCACATGGCCAACCACAGTCTGAGTTCCAGACATGGCAGCTGAGAGTCATGCTGGGCACCTGTGCATGTGTGCCCAAAAGCCCAGGACGAGATGGTGGAGAAGAAATTATGGCATGGCCATTCCCCGGGGGTGATTTCTCACTTTCCCTCTCAATATCCCTCTCTACTTCTCTTTGGTGCACTCGCATGTGCCCTATGAACAAAATCTAAAAAGAAACAAGAAACAAGAAACAAAAACTTCAGTTCCTTAAGCAGATTTCATAGAATTGAAAGGACTAAATACAATAATGTAGGTAAAGCATCAGGTGGCAATTGGCGTCTTGAGGTGACTCTTCCTTTCCAGTCTTCCTTGGGCAGCGGTTCTCATCAGGACAGCACCATCTCTTAAAGAGTGCTTTCGAGGGGCCGGCAGGTGGCGTGGTGGTTCAGGCATTGGACTTCCACATGGCTGAATGCAGTGTGAATCCAGGACCTGGCAGTTTGCTCTCTCTTTCTCTCTCGCTCTCTCTGGTCAAATAATAATAAAAATAAATAAATGATTCTCTTTTTTAAAAAGTGCTTCGGAACCTATGGGATGATTTTAGTTGCTGGAGGGGTTTGAGGTGCTCTGGCATTAGTGACTCTGAGTACATTCATTGAAGCACAGACAGATTTGCATAATGAAGAGCTCTGCACTCTGCCCAGCTTTTGTGATTCGCTAGGTGCCCACGTGGGGGCACTACCTGCCTGAAACCATCTGAGCTCAAAACCTGATTCTGTTTTACAGATGACACGAGATACCTGAACACGACTGCTGTGCAAATTGTTTTGTTGCTACAGGCACATGTGTTTGCAGGAGAGAAAGAGAAAGAGAGAGAGGCAAAATGAGAAAGCACTCCCCAGGGGAATGGCTACACCACAATCCATTCTCTCTTCTCCTCTCAGGATTTTGGGCATGCATGCACATGTGCCCAGTGTTTTGTTTTTCTTTTTTTGTTTGTTTGTTTTTCTTTTTTGGGGGGAGGAGGAGAGCTTTTTGCTATAGGGTGTGTGCACTTGCCAGAAAGACAGAGAGAGACAGAGAGACAGAAAGCAAGAAATCACCCCCTTGGGGGGATGACCATGCCGCAATCCCTTCTCCTCCATTCTCCTCTCAGGATCTTGGGCATGCACGCACATGCACCCAGCGTGAGTTTAAGACACCGGGTCTGGGACTCAAACCAGTGACATAGCTATTACACTAACTGCTGGTCCCCCCAGTGTGTTTTTTAAGCCGCTGTGTTTGGGACTCAAATTGTGCAGTCAGCTAGCTATGTGGGCTCTAGCCACCCCAACCACCATGACACTGGCTAGCCCTATAACTGTTGTGTAAATTGATGGGAAGCTGTACTTTGTACTGTTTGAATGTGACCAAGAGGAGTTCACACTTTGGAAAATTGTGTCCTTGGTGGAAATGTTCTTCGTGGTATCTGAGTCACCCATTGTAGTTGAGGCAGTCTTGGGTATTCTGTGTGTGTGTGTATGTGTGTATGTGTGTGTGTAAATGTTTGTGAGGGATCTTTTTTTTTTTTTTGAGAGGTTTTTGCTATAGGGCGTGTGCGCTTGCTAGACAGACAGAGAGAGACAGACAGAAAGCGAGAAATCACCCCCCAGGGGGGATGGTCACACCGCAATCCCTTCTCCTCCATTCTCCTCTCGGGATCTTGGGCACGCACGCACATGCGCCTGGCATGAGTTTTAAGCCACCAGGTCCGGGACGCGAACCGCGGTCTACTACATGGGAGTCCAGCGACATAGCCATTACACTAAATGCTGGTCCCCGGATCTTTTTTAAAAAATTATTTTATTTAACTTACTTACTTACTTACTTTCCTTCCCTCTTTCTTTATTTATTTTAATTTGACCAGAGTGGGACAGAGTGACAGAGAGTAAGAGAGAGAGAGAGAGAGAGAGAAAGTGAGAAAGAAAGCCTCCAGGCCCAGACTTGAACTGTGGTCAGTCATGTGGGAATCCAGTGCCCTTAATCACCACACCACCTGTTGGCCTCTGTGAGGGATCTTTAAAAAGTTCATGGGTGAGGGGCCAGCAGGTGGCATGGTGGTTAAGGCACTGAACTCCCACATGGTCTACCCCAATTTGAGTCCCAGACCCAGGGGCTTGAAAATCATGCTGAGCAAGTGTGTATGCATGCTCAAAAATCCCAAGAGAAGAATGAAGAAGGAAAGGGGTTGTGGCATGGCCATCATTCCCCCACCCCCAGATGATTTTTCACTTCCCCTCTCTCTGTCTCTCTCTAGCATGTGCCCTTTGACAAAAAAAGAAAAGAAAGCAAAACAACAACAAATAAAACAAAAATGTTCATGACTAGGGGCTGGCAAGTGGCATGGTGGTTAAGGGCACTGGACTCCCACATGGCTGACTGCTGTTCGAGTCCCAGACCTGGCGGCTTGTGTTCTCACTTTCTCTCTTTGTCTCTATCTCTCTGGTCAAATTAAAATAAATAAATAAATACATATATACATAAAGTTAAATAAAATAATTCTTAAAAAAATCTTTCTTTAAAAAAAAGTTCATTGCTGAAAAACTATGCATCGATTTCAATTTTTTGGCACCAAAATAAAATTGTACTTTAATTTTATTTTTCCACAAACTTTTTTTCTCACATGTATAATATGTATACCTATTTAGCCGTTACTTTCAAATGGTAAATACAAAGTACCCACATACTCAGTATTGTCTTCTTGGAAACACAAACTTAGTCATTGTAAGTAGTACACATGAGCATTGTGTCAGTTCATTCTAAGTTCTGGTACGGCTATATCCACTTAATATGTACCGACTATCCACACTTTATGGTAAAGATTGAAATATTGGAGGGCATAAAATAGCTATGGATGCTGAAGACAGTGTGGAACAGGGCAGGGGGGAGAAGGAAACAGTGTAGAGAAGGATAGCACGAGAACAAATAGAGAGGCATGTCATTAGTGGGACACGGAAATGGTTTATTACCCATTGATGATAACATGGATAGTATTCTCGACTGGACTGGCCTGAGAAGTATTTCATGTTGGGTAAATTCTTTATACAAGTCAAATGATATACAGTGAGCAAATATTTTTTAAAAAATGAGAGTGAATAATAATAATAATCTGAAAAAATGATGAAAAGCTATTTGACGATGCTGATATGGATAGCAATGTCTTTGTCTTGACTGAGATGCATGGTAATTGTGCTGGAAGAAGAAATGTAATACACTGTAAAGATATATGTGATCGGGAACCAGCAGTTAGCGTAATGGCTATGTCGCTGGACTCCCACGTAGTCGACCGTGGTTCGTGTCCCGGACCCAGTGGCTTAAAACTCACGCCGGGCACGTGTGCGTACGTGCCCAAGATCCCGAGAGGAGAATGGAGGAAAAGGGATTGCGGTGTGACCATCCCCCCTGGGGGGTGATTTCTCGCTTTCTGTCTCTATGTCTCTCTCTGTCTGGTGAGCGCACGTGGCCTATAGCGAAAAAACCTCTTCAAAAAAAAAAAAAAGAAACCTGGAAAAGTTGGGGATATTGTTTAATATGTGATCCAATGCAATATAAAAAGATTATGATTATAAATAAAATTAAATTGAAAAACTTCTGGCATGGTTGTGAGCATCTGCATTTTGAAATCATTTGCTTTTAATATTACATATATAAAATACTACAGTTAATGCATCATTTTAATATTCCAGAAACAATACGTTAAGGTTAAACTCTGATTTTTTACTTGGGATCATCATAGGAACAGTATAAACTACTTGCATTGGACTTAACAGGATTGAGAAGTGTTTACTCTAGGAAAAGCAAAAAGGATTTCAAGCAAGAGGAGAAAGCTCTTAGAGCATTCTTCTTCGTCAAGCAATAAGCCCAGTGGTGTATGGGGAACCCGATATTGCAATTTTCCTGGCTAGTTCTGCCAAGCCTCTGAGTACCAAGGCACTTCCAGGTCCACATAGGTGAGTGTGGGGCTGCACCAGACTCCCAGCCTGATGGTCTGCACCAGTCTGCTCAGGGCATCACACCAAGAGCTTCCTAACCAGGAGGGCCTTGAAACCCCCAGAAAGAATCTGAGAAAACGGACCTCCGCCAGTTTAGTGAACTCAAGAACACAAGCGTCAGGGTGTGTCCTCATTTCTTTTTCTTTTTTTTTTTTAAAGAGTTTTTTGTTTTTGTTTTTGTTTTTTTTGTTGTTGTTGTTGTTATTGTTTGTTTTGTTATAGGGCATGTGCACTTGTCAGAGAGACAGAAAGTGAGAAATCACTCCCCAGGGAGAATGGCCACAGTGTAATCCCTTCTCCTCCATTCTCCTCTCAGGATTTTGGGGATGCATGCACACGCGCCCTGCGTGAGTTTTAAGCCACCAGGTCTGGGACTTGAATTGCAGTTGACTATGTGGGAGTCCAGTGACGTAACCATATGCCATTTGCTAGTTCCAGTATGTCCTCATTTCTAATGGTACCACAGCCAGAGGAGAAGGCTGAGAATTCATGTGGGCTGGACGAGTGGCCCAGGTGTAGAAATCTGGGGGGCACTTACCACCTGCAGGGGGCACCACCTGGTCCAGCAGCTTCATGCTGGTCCGCTTCCAGATCTTCTTGATTATGGCCCGCAACTCCTCATTGGCTTGCTCTAGGTTCCCTGAGGGAAGGAGGGTGCAAGGTTGAAAAGGATCATCAGCCCTCGTTGGGTCCTCAGTGGAGCAGGTCCTTCTGAATAAGGGAGGTGACTGCCCCCTACACAGCCCAGTTCACTTTTCTTTCTTCCTTGTTCCTTTTCTCTCCAGTCTTCCTGCTTTCCACCTCCTTCCTTCCCTTTCCCTCTCATTTTTCCTCCTCCTCTCTACAAAGCCATTCCTCCCCTTCCTCCTGGTCCACTGCTCTGGCCAGCCGGCAGCGTCCCTCCATCCCCAAATGCAGCTCAGTGACAGGTAGAGGCTGCAGGTGCATGTACCAAGTGTAGCCCCAGGTGGCACGAACACTGGCACCCTGCCAGAGCAGCAGGGACGCTCCTATGGTGGCATTTCTGAGGGACCTGCTGGAACCACCTCAGGAAACACAGGTGACCAGAAGAAAGAGCCAACTTCTCCCATGCAGGGCACATCCCTGTCAGCGAGGGCTCTGCCCTCGGAGACACAGTGGCACAACCTAACTGTGGAAGCAGAAATCAGATGTCAGGGTCTATGGCTTTGGGTTTTCTCTGGACCTACCTTGTCTCCTGGTAAATAGTTTAATTATAGGCCTGTCCCATGCAGCCTGGGGGTGGGGGGTGGGCACTGGCCTTCTAGTGGTGACAAAGGAAAGCGGAGACCTGCAGCTGTGAGAGAGGACTGGTAGGCAGGATTTTGAGACCTTCCCCCAGCCACATGCACTGGTGTACATGTCCTGCACGGCCCCTGGGACTGCAGATGCACAGAGCTTTACTTCCTGCAATTATAACTAGATTACGTTACATGGGCTGTGTGACCTCAACGTAGAGATTACCCAAGTGGGCCTCAGCTCATCACACGAGCCCCCAAGAGCAGAGAGTTCTCTTTAGCTGGGAGAGAACAGGGAGTGGGAGAGATGGGCTCTGGCTGTCCTGGAAGAAAGCAAATGCTCACATAACTGAACTGAGAGACAGTCCTAGGAGCTGAGATGGGTCTTGGGCAAGAGCTGGCAGGGAAAGGAGGACCACAGACCTAGACGGCAAGAAATAAACCGCACCAAGAATCTGAATGAGCTGGAAGATGGAGTAGCCCGCAGAGTCTGCAGGGGTCTTGTGAGATCCTGCACAGAGAACTCAGCTACTTTGTGGCTAGACTTCTGACCCACAGATCAGGAGCTGTAACTGGTGTTGTCTGAAGCAGTTTGAGGTAATTTGTTACACAGTCACAGGAAACCACATGGGGTGGTGGGCCAGAACTCGGTGCCAGGCCTTACGGCTCCACTGAGCTTGTGGCCACGCAGAGGGCACAGAAGGGTGCAACAGAAAGAGTGGCTGGCTCTCGAGTGCACCCTCAGGCTTTTGCCAGAGGGCGCATGCACTCACCGGAGAGAGATGGAGAGAGACAAAGAAAGGGAAAGTGAAAAATCACCCCAGGAGGAGGGCCACACAGCCATATCCTCCCTTCTCCTCTTGAGATTTTGGGCACACACACATGTGCCTGGTGTGACTTTCAAGCCACCAGGTCTGGGAATCAAACTGGGGTCGACCATATGGGAGTCCAGAGAATTAACCACTATGCCACCTGCTGGTCCCAATGGTAAGTTATCTTAATCAAGGCTGCCTCTATGCTCTCACAAGCATCTTTGTGCCAACAAGATAAAGGCGCCCCTTCGCATGGGTACAGCCCTGAGGGAGCGGAGTCTCTCAGCAGCACGGGTTGTTACAGGTGGTCAGACAGACATGAGCAGGGCATCCCTGGACACCAATGATAAGGGCATCTGGCACACTCACGGTTGTCAGGGGTTGTAGCCAGACCCCTGGCACCAACGGGAGGAGAGATGATCTTTTATCACTAAGCTGTCATTAGAGGGCCTGGAGAATGACTCCCCCACCCCCAGCTACACACAGGCACCGTCCCGGGCCCCTGACCAGTACTTCACCTTCCACTGGCAGCGCTAGACTGGTATGGACAAAACTCCGTATGTGCATGCTCACACCTTCAGAGTCCACACAGGGCGTGTGTATGACTTCCCCTAACAGGCAGGAAGTCCATAGATATGACAAAAGTCCGGGAAAACAAACCCCCTCCTCAACAAGACCCCACAATAAAAGTAACACCTAACCCCATTCCTGGTGCAGTTGCCACCCAGCAGTCTCTTGGGTGTACTATACTATTAAAACTTCTTGGGACCAGCAGTTGGCGTAATGACTATGTTGCTGGACTCCCATGTAGTTAACCACGGTTCGAGTCCCGGACCTGGTGGCTTAAACTCACTCCGGGTGTGTGTGCATGCGTGCCCAAGATCCCAAGTGGAGAATGGAGGAGAAGGGATTGGGGGGTGGCCATACCCCCTGGAGGGTGACTTCTCACTTTCTGTCTTTCTCTGTCTCTCTCTTCCTGGCGAGTGCATGCACCCTACAGCAAAAAACTCTCAAAACAAACAAACAAACAAACTAAAACAATGACAACAAAACAAAACAACAAACAAACTAACTTCTTTCATGCTTTTCTCATGGTTGTGGCTTTGTGTGCATATCAGGACAGGCCTCTCATCTTAGCTAGCTGGGCCCAGGAACAGAGCACTCCACCACAATGCTCCCCAGTTCCCATGTGAGGGCAGGTGAGAGCGTGACCCTCTCCTGTCAGCTAGCTAAGCACGCTGTGCAAGGTGCAGCCTGCACAGTTGTGCATGATGGCCTCCACCACAGTCACCACTTGTCACTATGTCCCCTTCCCAATATGGGTCCTTTTCATTAAAAACAAAACAAAACAAAAAAAAAACCAAAAAACATCTGGCACTTGAGAGACCCACCTATAGTCAGTAAAAGTCCATTTAGATGGACCTTGGTCTAGACAGCTTCATGTAACACTCATCTTTCTTTTTTTCTTTTCTTTTCTTTTCTTTCTTCTTTTTCTTTTTCTTTTTTTTTTTTTTTAATAGAGATTTTGACTATAGGACACGTTCACTCACCGGAGAGACAGAGATTGACAGACAGAAAATAGAAATCACCCCCAGAGGAAAGGCCATGCAGCAATCTGTTCTCCTCAATCTCCTTTATTCTCCCCTTGGGATTTTGGGCAGGCACACACACATGCCTGGTGTGGTTTTCAAGCCACCGGGTCTAGGATTTGAACTGTGGCTGGTCATGTGGGAGTCCAGCGAAGTAACTGCTATGCCATATGCTGGCCCCACCTCTTTCTATTTTTTGAACTATACCCCACGACTTCAATATATCACTCTGAATAATTGCTAGGGTTGGATGGAAAGTCAGCTATGGAAAGAAATAAATTAGAAACAAGGAGACCATTGAAGAAGCAAAGCAGGCCTGCCCTATGGCCTATGGGCTAAGAGAGCCAGACTCCACATGGCTGACTACAGTTGGAATCCACACAGGACACGTGCACATGAATGTCCCAAATCCTCCAGGACGGGGAAATAGGGGAGAGGGGATCGTGGTATGAGACATCCTGTTGAGAGGTGCTTTCTGTTTCTCTTTCTCTCTCTGGCAAATATACATGCCCTCTGATATTAAAAAAAGAATAAGCAAAGAAAATACAAGTAGTCCAGGCCTCCTTGACACTCAGACAGTAGGGTAGCACTGCCCCTGCGTGGATGGGTGTGGTGGGAAGGCAGTCCAGGAGCACCCTGTGGGTTGCTGGGACCCTCCTCGGTGGGTCTGCCATTCCTCTGAGTAGCTCTGTTAGTGGCCCACAGGTGTTTCCTACCTTCCGTTTTGATTCTCAGTGCCGTCCTGACCAGGGCAAACAGGGTGGCATTGAACATGACTGTCCCGTCGCTGTTCAGAGGCATGTTCATGGAGACCAGGCGCTGGAGAAGAAGGAGAGGCAAAGCCTGTGGTTACAGTGCACGGTTATCAAGGACCTGAAGAGCCACCCGGCAGGAGCATGCCAGGAGGATCCTGCAACACCTACATGAGGAGCAGGAGGGGGTGACACACAGACCAGAGAGGTGTTCAAGATCTTCTCTGGAGAGAGTCTTGGCTTGGTCACAGCATTCTCGCCTGTCCCCATGGAGTGGGGGAAGGATAGTTTGTCCTCATTAGCTCCTCACTTGCATACGCACAAAAGGGTGTTAAGCCCATCGAGCTTCTGAACTGTGTGCCTAGGCATGCAGGTGTGCTCTTTACTGATAGGAAAGAATGGCCAGGCACCCACCTGCCAGGCAGCCTCATCCACAGCCCAGGTAAGGAGCCCTAGTAGGAGGTGAGCTCGCAGGGGCTGAGTGTGCCGTCCGGCATGTACTGAAAAACCGCCTGCATCCAGTGGGGTCGGTGCTTGCTGACGCAGGGTCAGCCTGTGCTGTCCTCACTCTCACCCCTACCCGCACATGTCTCCATCACACACTGACTGCCGCGGCCCCCTCAGCACCAGCACCACCGTGAGAAAGAGCAGCACGAAGCTCACTGCAGTGTCCACGGACCGGGTGTGGTCAAGTGTGCCCCTGGCTGGATCACACGGTGTCTTCTTGTTCGTCTTAGTGCCTAGAAGGGCCCAGCTTTCCTGAGTGCTGATCTTTTGAATCTTATGGGCAGAGTGCACTGGCTAGTGGCACTGGGCAGCTCACAGCCCTGCTGCAGTCTGCTCTGGTCCGGGGAGGCCACACTTGTTGTAGTCAGCCTCACCCAGGCTGTGCCGCTTCCCGCCCTTGTTTTCCATTAATTTGTGCTCTTTTCTTGCATTTTCTACATACTTGAAAATAAAACCATTTTTGGAGTAAGGTATAGGTAGAAATGGCGGGGGCAGGGGATGAAGTTAAGTAGTATATGCTAAAGGTTCTGTATCCGGTCAAGTCCCCCTCTTCCATGAGTGGTTTACCCACAGGCTCTCTGTGTTCTTCTGGATAGTTCCTGCCCTCATCTCCTCCAATTCTTTATATCCCAACAGTAAACACAGACTGGGGACATGGGTGTGGCTCAGGAATCCAAAGGGGGAGGGACGTGGGGATGACAGGCCACAGCCACTGCCAGCTCTGTGGGAATTACAGTGAAGTAAGTGGGGTGTCTGGACACAAGGGAAGGGGCGCTTCTGCCGGGGTCAAGCAGGAGTTGTGTCTTGAACCTAGGAGTGTTTGTCTTCACCATTTTCGGTTAAAGGTTCACTCAGGAACCTGATAGAAGTGGCAGCTCTCCCCCTGGTAACACCAGTGAAGGTCTGGAAATCAGCACACCATTTAGAGCTGCACAGGTGCTGCAGCCAATGCGCCGACTCTTCTAATATCGACACCTCCCAGGAGCCTCGGCTGTGCAGCTGCTGGGCTGCAGCCCCTTTCTCAGATTGGGCACACAGCTCGATGGCACAGGAAGCACCCATCTGCATTCCTTTATGGGGTCTAACAATCGAGAGCTAAAAGAATCCTTAAAATAGAATCTGGCTCAAGTTAATTTCTTTAGGTACATTAAATACTATCTTTATTCTCTTAAAATACCAGTGGCCTGGGGCTAGCAGGTGGCATGATGGTTAGGGTGCTGGACTCCCCCACATGGTCGACCATAGTTTGAGTCCCAAACCTGGCGGCTTGCTTTCTCATTTTCCCCCTCTGTCTCTCTCTCTCTGGTGGGCACATGTGCTCTCTAGCAAATTAAAAAATAATAATAATAAAGTTAATTAATAATTGTTTAAAAATTTTAAAGTATCAGTGGCCTAACCAAAGCACATGACAAACAGGCATTGTGTCTCCCACATCGTCTTTCTTTCTCCCATGAACCCAGGTCATCTCTTACTTTGCAAGCCACACGATGAGGGCACAGCTTCCCAAAGCCCAGTGGGGGCTGAATCCGCCGTAAGAGGGTCACTACATCCAGGTGTTTGATACGACCCCTGGAAGAGAAGGAAAGGAAAAGAGGAGCAGTCAGAGGGCCTGGTCTCTGCCCGGACGAATGCTTCCACGGGACGGGGCTCGCCCACAAAGGAGCTCTGCACAGGGTAGCCTTATTGGTCAAAGTCAGTGCACAGCTGCAGAAGTGCATGGGAAAACTCCATGCCCACACACAGCTGTCCTGTTCTTCAGGATCTGCGGAGGGATTGGTCCCAAACTCGGAGAAGCTCCAGTGCCTTTCATACAATACAATGGTGTATGGTAGAGAGACTGCATGTGGCCTCTGGACACCCTCTCCATACTCTAAATCCCCTCTAGATTACTGGTAATGCCTAAGAGAATGCAAATCTTATGAAAATAGATGCCATAATGTATTGCTTAGGGAGTAAGGACGAGAGAACAGTTTGGCTGTGTCCTAGGCTCAGCTCCACAGTGCATCAACAGCGACAGAGCACCTTCTCCCCACGGCTAATTCACCTGCAGACATGGAGCCTGTGGAGACAAGAGCTGCCTGTACATGTGTTTATATTTTAACGAACATTTCTCTGACAGGCCAACAGGGAAGGGACTTTACTGAAAGGTATTTACTGAGTGTCAATCAAATGTGATTGATTAAAGCTGCATCCTTAGACCTGAGGCAGGAATGAGGGCTACCTCCTCACTTGAGCCCTTACCAGTTATTCCTAACACTGGGTTCTCCTGCTTTTCTGTTGGACTAAAAGTAACAAAAACGTTTTGACTTAATTACAGAAGCCTGGCTTTTGGGGGATCTAGTTACAGAAGCCTGGCTTTGGGGGCATCTAGTGCAGTTCAGTATTTCCAACTGACCCACCCTAAGTTGACCCATCTTGAGCCTCTTCAATAGGTATGGCCACTCCACTCCTTCTCTTGACTTAGGGAATCAGGATTTCTCTCTGGGAACTTACTTGGCTTCGGGGTCATACTCTGCCCAGATTCTTTTAAATTCATCCAGATGGTGTGGACCAAGGATTGACCAGTCTCTTGTCAGGTAGTCAAAGTTGTCCATGATGACAGCAACAAAGAGGTTGATGATCTGCAGAGAACCGTTAGTACATGAGGTGCTCTGAGAGGACTTTCTGGCACACTCGCCACTAAAACGTACCTTGCCAATTGACATTTCTAAGTACCAATACCATGTCACCATTGTAAACACTAGCTCCTAGAACTTGGGCTTCTTGGACATAAACTTGACAAAGTGTCCCCGAGTTGAGCTGGACAGCTTCTCGCATACCAAGCTGCTAGGTGGTGCTGCCAGGGACAGAGGGCACCTTCACCTGCCACCTTCCCATACTCCTCGGCAAGGTGCCCACAGAGAGTAAGTTCCCACCAGGCCTTCACACATCCCCCGTCCTCTGGGACAATGCCACCGTGACGATAGTGAGGAATGGGCAACTGAGAGGCTGGTTGAGCTCACTCTGAATCAGGGATCTCCCTGCTTATCTCAGTGTGGCGGGCGGGATTTTCCTACTAACGTATTTTCCCAAGCCAGCTCCTCTGATTGGATTGCCCTGACCATGAGCTGCCGCGATCGAGGGCTTAGGCTGCCTGTGACTGCCGAGTCCCACCTCAGCTTACCAGGAAGGCACAGAGCATGTAGAAGCTGATGAAGTAGAAGACGGCAAAGCTGCTGCCACAGGGGGTTTCCCCTTCCGTGCTGTTGCTGGGTTCCGACTCTGGAGCACACTTCTTGCCTGGCATGCAGGCCAGCATGATGTCCTGCCAGGCCTCCCCTGTGGCACACCTGGAGGAGAGAACCCAGCACACATGCAGCCAGCCTCACAGGTGCGACGAAGCCCCGAAGCCTTCCCTGGAGGGGATCCTAAATGAATTTGGTGTTTACCATTTCCTGAATGCTTAGGTATATTAACTAACTATGAAAATGTGCAGCAGTATTTTGACATTTCTTTTCTTTTCTTTCTTTCTTTCTTTTTCTTTTTTTTTTTTTTTTTTCCATAGGGCATGTGCATTTGCCAAAGAGAGAGGGACAGTAAGAGGGAAGGTCAGAAATCACCCCCAACCCCGTTCCCTGGCCGCACCACAATCCCTTCTCCTCCATTTTCCTTCTAGGATTTTGGGTACACATACATACAGTCGGCATGATTTTCAAGGCACGAGGGTCAGGACTTGAACTGCAGTCAGCCATGTGGGAGTCCAATACCTTCATATCTGAGGGTTTTAAGATTTTCTACAAATAGTAAAAATTGTATCTTTTCTACGGACTTGTTCTTTTTGCAGTCCATGTTAAGTTTTCAAGATTTAGCCATCTGAATATAGTTTAGCTCTAGTTCAGTCATCTTAGCTACTCTATAGACATATATGCTATGAACACATCATTAAAAATATCCATTCTCTGGGGCCAGCAGGCGGCATAGTGGTTAAGGTGCTGGACTCCTACATGGTCAATTGCAGTTCAAGTCCTGGACTTGGTGACTTGTTTTCTCATGTTCTCTCTCTTTCTCTCCTTCTGTCTGTCTCTCACTGATAAGCCCATTAACCCTGTCTCAAACTATATAAGAAATAATAATAATAAGTACAATTAAATAAGTAACTCTCTCTCTCTACACACACACACACACACACACACACACACACACATATCCATCCTCCTGATAAGGAACATTGAGGGTTTTGGGTTTTTTTATAATCGTTATTATAAGCAACACTGCAATAAACCTGCAGGTTCACATCTGGGGTATTTGCTTAGAAGTGGAATTACCAGTGGAAAGTACACATGTCTTCATTTTCACTAGGTATTACCTAGTAAACATTGGACCCTGCGCTCAAGTGTTTGTCCAGTGTAGACTCCTGCCATCATTATACAAAAAATAACATTCTCTACAGACTCATCAACTCTCAGTATTATGAATTTTTTTTTAAAAAATGATGCTGATATTGTGGGTGTGAACTGCTGTTTTAATTTGATTTTAAAATGATTAGTGGGTTGAGAATTTTTATTTTAAATTATGTTGAGCTGCATGTTCATCTTTTGGGTTAATTGACTCATGATATATTTGGATTGTTGCTCATTTTTAGGGTCTTTTATACATTCTTTGTTTCAATCCTTTGTTAGTTACATGCATTACAAGTATCTTCTCCCATCTGTGACTTGTCTCTGGCTTTACTTATGATATATTTTGATGAAGCTTAGTTTTAAATTTCATGTAGTAAAATTTATAATACTTTCAGAGGAATGTATTATATTTTGTGCTTTTTGCATCTTGTCTTAAAAAATCCTTCCCTTTTCTAGATCATAAATATGTTCTTCTCAGTGTTCTTCTAAAGTTTCTAAAGTTTTTTTTTCTTTTTTTGGAGAGGTTTTTGCTATAGGGCACGTGCGCTTTCCAGAAAGACAGAGAGAGACAGAAAGACAGAAAGCGAGAAATCTCCCCCCAGGGGGGATGGTCATGCTGCAATCCCTTCTCCTCCATTCTCCTCTTGGGATCCTGGGCATGCATACACACGTGCCCGGTGTGAGTTTTAAGCCACCAGGTCCGGGACTCGAACCACGGTCGACTACATGGGAGTCCAGCGACATAGCCGTTACGCTAACTGCTGGTCCCTAAAGTTTCGTTTTTCACAATAACATATTGACCCTAAATTTATATTTTTTGTTTTAAATGAGGTAGAAATATGTTTTTATCCTTTTCTATATAGATAACCAAAATCCTTAATACTATTTATCTCTATCAACTGATTTAAAATATCTCTTCTGACATAAATTATATGTCTATAAACGTGTGCGTCTTGTGCTAGGTTTGCCTATCTCAGTGCCAGTGTATCACATTATCTTAATTACTGTAGCTTTACAGTCATTCTTCCTCTCTTACAGAGAGTGAGTTCTAGCTCCTTGTTCTTCAAAATTCATCCTGACTATTCATTTTTCCTTTCTAACCCATACACCTATTATAATCCCATTTATCAAGTTCTATGAATAATTCTACTGAGAATCTTCTTGAAATTTCATTAAAATAGAGATTAACTTGGGAAATCTTGACATCTTAGGGTATTAAATCTCCCAGCCATGACACACATCTCCATTTATTCAGGCCTTATTTAATATCTTCAATAAAATTTTATACACATCTTTCTAGGCTGCTTCTTTATTTTGTTGCACATTTAAAATGGTACAGTTGACAAGTTACATCAATTTGCTACTGCCTTAAAGGAGATGCAATTGATGTTATATGTAGCATTTTCCCTACTACACTCTTACTAGTTTTAACAATGTATTTGGACTTTCTCTTGTATATTTACATTGGCAAAAAAATTTTATGGCATTTAATTTTGTTTCTTCCTCTCTTTTTTCCCCCATTCTTGTCATTTGATTTATTTTTCTTATCTTATTGGATTGGACAAAACTTATAGCATAATACAGACTAGAAAAAGTGATAGTGTTAAATCTTATCTATTTCCAAATGAATTATTACCAGTACAGGGAAATGACTATTTTTAACCGTCCTGATTCTATTAATTGTATACAGTGTTCTAGTTGATTTGCTTGGATTTTCTACTTGGATTAGCTTATTGTCTTCAAATAATGAGTTAAGTCTATGTAATTTCACATTTATAACTTCTTGCCTTTTTTTCTTTTTGTTATTGTTATACACCCTACATTAACTTTATGGGGTGAATAAGTAAGTTTTCTATCTTTTTCTATTTCTGGAAAGTTTATATAATATAGGAATGATCTATTCCTTGATAATTTGGTAGACCTCATAAATGAAAGTATTAAATTTTGGCCTTTTGGAAGGCTTATATTTTTTATTACATTTTACATTTCTACTGTAGTTCAATTCTTTTTTAAGAATTGCTTTCTTTCTTTCTTTCTTTATTTATTTATATTTTGCCAGAGAAGAACAGAGAGAGAGAGTGAGAAAGCAAGGCACTAGGCCTGGGACTCAAACCACGGTTGGCCATGTGGGAGTCCAGCACCCTTCACCACTCCATCTGCTGGTCCCTGTAGTTCAATATTTTTTTAAAAAATTATTCTTAAGACAATTGTTGTTATTCATATTTTCCTACATAAAAACATCTGATTTAGTTATTTTTTTCTTGTACTTTCATCTGCATTTATTTTACGCTGATTTTATTCCCATGCCGTAAGTTTTCATTTCTTCAGTTTTTTATGAGATGTCTTTTTCTCCTGTGCAAATCTCCTCTTCTAGTTTAGGAATAATCTGTCCCTTTACGGTAAGAATCATGTCAATGTGGCAAGGGGAGCTCAGCCATGGGTTAATTTGACCATGAACTCTCTAATTACAACACACCTTGGGTGCCTTGTTCACGTGATTATACTCAGTGACCAGAGACTCCACATCCAACCCCTTCAGTTCAGCATTACTCTCTGCATTTTAAGCATGTGAAGCAGTTTTCAGCACTCTTTTTGGGCCACTGACCCTGTGTGCAGTCCCACTGTTTGACCTGGGTACAACCTCCAACCCAGAAGGACACACGCTGCTTCTGTACAGTGACTTCTTTCAGACACTTCGCAGCTTTTCAGATATGCATACCCTTGATGGCCTGGGCAATTTCCTGGGTGTTCTTAAAGTGAACACAAAGAGTGGACTGCTGTATCATATGGTAGTTTCTATTTGTAGAATTTCTCAATTTGCATGATTTTATGGGGTTCTCTGGGTCAAGTGAAGAGTGGACCATCTTCAAAAATCACCTCAGGCTGTTTACAGGAAGAGCTAGATTTTAAAATATATTGGCATACATTTTTTCCTAATATCTTCTCTCCTTCTTTATCCTCCCCCACCTCTCCTCCTCCTCCTTCTTGGTTTGATCCTATTCATTTATTACTCTTTTGAAAACCTTATATCTGAGGTAGAAGCATTCAAAGTTTTCACGGAGGATAGTCTCTATCTCTCGGCAACCTGTTCCCAGCATTTTCCTTCTACCTCCTTCATTCTCTTGGCCAAAAGTTTAATGTGTTCTTTGGTTTTTTCCTTATTTTTCTTTTTTTTTTTTTTTTTTTTGGAGAGGTTTTCACTATAGGGTGCGTGCACTCGCCAGACAGACAGAGAGAGCCATAGAGACAGAAAGCGAGAAATCACCCCCCCAGGGGGGATGGTCACGCCACAATCCCTTCTCCTCCATTCTCCTTTCAGCATCTTGGGCACACACACACATGCACCCGGTGTGAGTTTTAAGCCATCGGGTCCGGGACACGAACCGCGGTCAACTACGTGGGAGTCCAGCGACATAGCCATTACGCTAACTGTTGGTTCCCCTTATTTTTCTCAATACACTGTTTCTTCAAAGCAATATGCCAGTGCTTTACAGAAAGACAGCATTATAAGGTACCAAATCTTGGTGCTTAGGGCCTAGGTTTCTTGTAGTCTTTGTGAGGAGCATTCTAAATACATATTGGGAAGCATCACCTTTTTTTAGAGAGATGAAAAAGTCTGCAAATTCTGCTAGCTTTTGGGGGGAGGAGTTGTTGAGGCGTAATAGTATCAATCAGTCCAAGAATATCCTTCTCCCCCCTTTTTTAAAAAAATGTATTCTGTTATTTATACATTCAATAGCTATACATCATTTAGATTATAAAGAGAATTTATCCAGCATGATATACATTTCCAACTGATCCAGTTGAGAATATTATACATGTCATCATCAGCAGGTAATAAACTATCTCTGCATTCAAAAAAGTCTTACATATCTATTTTTTCTTCAAAATTCTTTCCTTATACTCTTCCCCTCTCAAACTCTTCCTCCCGCTTTGCCCCAGTGTTCATA